AAGAGTTAAGACATGTCTTACCATATTAAAAACTTGACAAAACAGGATTGGTACTAGCAAGTTTAAATAAGTTATTAAGTTTAAAAAGTTAACTTAGAATGTGAAAATTAAGAGAATAACAAACCATTGCTCAAGCAGGTTCTCTTCAATTCTGTTTCATCATGTAAGTCCCAAAGTAGGTTAATTTTGGAAGAGTGAATGTAGCTCTTCCGTCCATTGTCTAATTTCCTTCCTCTTTTTTCTATGCTATTACTCTTTGCAATCATGAATGTGAAGATCCCGCAGTTTTTCAAAGGGAAACAAATTCTTCAATCTTGAACAACTAATAATTACACAAAATTCTTTAATTAGAAAAAGATGTGATGGCCTACGTATAGGTTGAATGGCCGCAAGAGTTGAACAATAAGCCAACTATACCAACTCATATATATCCAATTCACAGAAACTCCATTACGTCAGATGCTGAGCACTAGGGCCCAACTTCAGAGAAGCAGTATATAAGAGCCCTGCAACATGGTTGAATAGATTGTGTGATACAGAGAAAACATAGAACTGACCTTTGGATAAACAAATAAGAACCATAATATGAATTAAGAAGCACTTTGGTGAAAAGACAGTATCAAATCCTTTAAAACCACTTAATATTTGGATGAGAAAAATAGAATCCACCAATCACCAGTGTAGAGGCAGCTGGCAGGCAAGAAAGCGCATTAAATCAACCTAAATTCTGCTTACTATTTTGGACTTGACAATAATTGTTGATCTCCAAGTATGGGTGTGTTGGCTGCATAAAATCTAAAGGTAAGTAATAGAGACTGTCAAGTTAGCCACAAGAGTTTAACTAAATTGATAGATCAAAAGAATATGATAGAAATTCATACAATTGTATACATACATACCTTGGGTCTGCTGTGGCCTACATATATATATGTGGGTTCAATTGCCACAAGAGTTGAACAGTAATGTGATTAAAGAAATTAAGATGTTGAGGTTGATATAGTTAATAGTCACAAAACATAAAACAAGAAATTTCTCAAATCTGTTTGACTGCTTATTACAACGCAAAATAAAACAAATATTACTTAAACAAGCAATAATTAAACAAAGTTCATCCATAGCACAAAACAACAAATTACAACAGAGATTGCACTGGATTGAAGTGAGTGTGAGTCCCCTTTTTTTTTTTTCCTTAGCTGTATATGTTGCTGAGTTGAAGAAATAGGTTTGAAATGGTAAGAGATGCAGCCTGCACCAACATGTATAGAGAAATTACTTAATTCTAACGATGCAAATATTAGTTAGCCAAAAAAAAAG